AGACTATGGCCACACTTAAACTAACCTCCCTAAACGTTAACGGCCTTAACATTCCGACCAAACGGCGTCTATTAATGAGAGAACTAAAACGGCAAAAGACAGACATAGCCTTCATACAAGAATCGCATATACTGCGCTCAGCCCGGATTCAGCTAACTGACCACCTCTACACCAGGGCATACTCCTCCAGAGCACTGGTGAAGAAAAACGGAGTAGAAATACTCCTGCACAAAAAATGCCCCTTTGTCACTCAAACGACACAAGTTGACACGATGGGTCGGTACATCATCCTCACCGGGACGGTATACACCACCACATACCATCTGATTAACATCTACGCACCCAACCACCCAGACCCAGACTTCTGGGATAACCTACACAACCGGATACACGCGCTGCCATACGGAATAATAGTGCTGGGGGGCGACATGAACGCAACTCCCAGCCCACCAGTCGACCGTAGCACACCGACAGGGGGCCAGAGGACACCTAGGGCCGGAGGACAAGACAAACTACTATCCCAGTTCATACACAAAACGAAATTGCTCGACCCCTGGAGGTTGCGGCACCCGGGACAGAGAGACTATACATTCTTCTCGGCGGCACACTCCACATACTCCCGTATAGACATATTCCTGGTCAACCAGAGAGGGATCCCATGGATCCAATCTGCACGAATTAACCTCAACACGTGGTCGGACCACGCTGACATAGAGCTTACTTTACAACTCCCAGGGCAAAGGCCACCATGGAAATGGAGATTGAACAGCACACTCATTAAAGACCCCGAGGTGACAAAGCTCATCCAGAACGAACTAACAACCTACTTTAATGAAAACGACAGACCGGAGGTAACTCAAACTACGATTTGGGCCGCCCATAAGGCGGTCATCCGGGGCACCCTCATCAAACTAGCGACTCGGCGGAAAAAACAGAAGGCGGAAACCCTCTTCGAGCTCCAAAAGGCGCTACGGAGGGCAGAAGCCAAGCACAAACAAACTCCCTCGACACAGGGTCTGCAGGACCTTCGGGCACTTCTGGCATACGATCCGGGCCTTGGCGATAGAAGACCTAGGGAAGGATCTAGTCCGTAAAAAACGCCTTTTTTACGAACGCTCTAATAAGATGGACACCCTCCTAGCCAGGGCCCTAAACCCCAAACAACAATTCAAGGCCATAACGGCGATTAGGGACAAATCGGGACAGATGACACATAACCCCAAGGAAATTAATCAAATATTCTCGGAGCTCCTAGCAAACATCTATAACCACTCCCCAGAACTAAATAGCAACAATGAGACATACAAACGAACGGTCGCAGACTATGTATCCAATACCCATATGAAGAGTTTGACGCCAGAAGCCATACTGACTCTGGGAGCTCCGATAGAGGGGGACGAGGTAGATAGGGCAATCACGGCACTCAAAGGGAACAAGGCACCGGGCCCAGACGGCTACGATGGCTCCTACTATAAACTCCTTAGAGACACGTTGACCCCAAGGTTGGTGAAGGTATACATGGAATGGATGGACGGGGACATCCTAATCCAGAAACACTTACGGCAGACATCACACTCATCCCCAAACCAGGTAAAGATCCTACGGAGGCCGGGAACTACAGGCCTATCTCGTTGATTAATTTTGATGTTAAGGTGTTTGCAAAAATCCTAGCGACGCGTCTCAATCCCCTCCTGGGTACATTCGTCCACCCGGACCAAGTCGGCTTCGTACCATCTCGACAACTGTACGAAAACACCAGGAGGGGGGCGGATGTCATATGGTGGGCGGTGAGGACCCGGACGCCTTCTCTGATCCTATCCCTGGACGCGGAGAAGGCGTTCGACAGGGTCCAGTGGCACTACCTCTTCTCACTATTGGGGCACCTGCGTATGCCAGAAACATTCATAAAGGGAATAAAAGCCCTGTACACAGAACCACAGGCGCAAACAGCAGTAACTAGGGACAGCTCCGACCCCATTCAAGACTGCCAACGGCACCAGACAGGGCTGCCTCTTTCCCCCCTGCTGTTTGTCCTAGCACTAGAGCCTCTTCTACTGAGGATTAGGGAGGATAGGAACATAACGGGCATTAGGGCGGGAGGGGAGGAATACAAAGTCTCTGCGTATGCAGATGACATCATGGTCACACTTTCCAACCCCCGGGGTTCCCTGCCACGCCTCCTCGAGGACTACGGACGGGTATCAGGCTATAAGATTAATTTAGAAAAATCAGTGGCCATGCCACTGGAAATGGATACGGCGGAGATCAATGCCATAAAAGCCAACCACTCCCTCAACTTTACAAGAACTGACATCAAATATTTAGGGATTAAACTAACTGCAGAACCGGAGAGACTGTATGACGCGAATTACACACCCACATTGCAAACATTATGCCGGGATTTAGAAAAATGGCAAGCCAAGCCAATCTCATGGATAGGGAGATTACATGCGATAAAAATGACATTGCTACCTCGCCTGCTGTTCCTATTCCAAGCCCTGCCGATCAAAGTCACTAAACAAGACCTAACGACGCTACAAAGACGCATAGATAACTTTATATGGGCACATAAATGACACAGAGTAGCTAGGCAAGTGCTATACCGACCGAAGTCAAAGGGAGGACTAGGACTCCCAAATCTGTACCAATACTACTTGGCGGCTCAACTAGCCCAAATAATAGCTTGGCACGCACCAGAAGGCTCACATCGATGGGTCGACCTAATTAATGAGCACCGATCTCCCACAATTCTGGATATGGGTGCCCAGACAAGACATACCTGCCCTACGGACCACCTGCCCGGCAATCCTAAATTCCATACGAATTTGGGACAATACAGCCACCAAATATGCACTTAAACACACACCCTCACCACTAACCCCTTATCTGAGGAATAAAGCGTTTGAACCCGGGCTAAGCGCACGAGACTTTAGGGGCATAGAGTGTACGAGGATGCAGAGGTATGGCCATATGTATGAGGGGGACTCCTTCAGATCGTTCGATAGCCTGAAAACTTAAGCGCCCCTGACCACAAAAGATGTATTTCGCCATATCCAACTACGAGACTTCGCCAAAACCCCAGAGGTCAAAAAAGCTGCCCACACCCCAATGACGTTCTATGAACAATTATGTAACGCCGAAACCGTACAAAAGGGCTTAATAACCACTATATACGCACAACTCAGCGCCCCAGCTAAAGACGCTAAAGACCCACGATACATTGGCCAATGGGAGGCGGACCTGGGGGTGACATTAGAAGGAGAGGACTGGGTGGACATTTGGGAGGCGACAGCTAAAACCTCAAGAACAGTCATATAAGAACAGTCATATAAGAACAGTCACCAAGAACAGTCATATAAAATGCTCATGAGATGGTACACTACACCTGTGCAGCTACACAGAATGGGGAAAACCACGACAGACACATGTTGGAAGGGCTGTGGAGGTAAAGGCACCTTTGTGCACATGTGGTGGGAATGCCCAGAACTAAAAAAATACTGGAAGCGCATACAGACACTACTAACTGACGTGCTGAAGAAACGTATAGATCTAGACCCATGGTCGGTCCTACTGTCCAAGCCCATAGACGGCCTCCCCAGAAAAGAACAACAGCTCTATAATAAAATCACACTAGCGGCCAGAAGGGCTCTAGCCCAGGCGTGGCTTAAGCCCACGTTACCCACAGACGATGACGTGATAGTTAAAGTTAAAGATACACATTTGATAGACAAACTCACAGTCCAAATTAGGAACACGGAGAAATCATTTCATAAAATATGGCAACCTTGGGAAGACTATCTCGACGACTAAACTTACATAAGCAGGACAAAGACAGAGGCCTTGGAAGGGCCTGGATCCGCCGCACGCCCCATCGAACAGCGTTCCCCATCCCTCCCCTCCCCCCCTTTTTTTTTTCTCTGCTCCCCCCCCTCCTCCCTCCATCTGTAGACAGAGAGAAGCCCTAAAATACTACCAATCAGACACCAGGAAGAACCCACACAAACACCAAACCAACAAGTTACACTACATCTACAAACTGGTATAACGGCTTAAAAGTACAGCACAGTGACCACTGACAACGCACGACCCGTCACTAGGGCTTCTCTACGAAGCTCCCCACGGCCACAAGAAAATATGACAGGGCACCGTTATCCGCGACCAAACAAGACCCCGACTTGGGATGGCCCATAGGACGGGGCGACCATGGCAGTAACCGACGGACACAACTCTAAAACGATAGCAAACCCACCATGACACGACGCCGACGGATTCACGACATTGCCCAGAGCACATAACCGACATCACACAAATCAGTACTGCTCCACGCAGAACAGCGAAAATAGACTCTATGTACCCAATGTGAGTCGGTTGGAAAGCGCTGTGAAATCTGTATTAAACACTCAGAGGTTATTGTATATTACTTTGTGTTGCACTGTTGTGTTTTTTGTTTTTTGTGTTTTTTGTATTTTATGTACAGGCAAGAACTGCCCCCAATATTGAAACCGACACAGAGCGGCAAAAAAACAATGTCTCCTAACCTATAAAACATTTAACCACTGTTGTATGCCAAGTAAAACTGCCTTGTAATCGGCCCCTGCGTGAGCCGCTGTATTTTGCTATGCCGCATTCAGTGTCGACTCAAAAATAAAGATTTTTTTTTAAAAAAGTATAAATTAGAGTGAGATTAGCATATGGTATGTGTTTTCTTATAGCTGCACCATATGATTTTTTCCTCCAGCACCATCTCCATCAGATACATGACGCTTGGGAGGTATGGCTGTTTTAATATTTTTGGTCGATGAGATTCTGTAATTAGGCCCATCATAATTATCAGCATCAGGCCCACTTCACTCTTAATTTGGCCCTGGTTAACATACAAAGAAATATACAAGATTCCGATAAGACATAAAAGATAGCTAGGTAGTGTGGTAGGATGACCAGGCTCTTGATAATAAACTTCAAATGCAAGCGTCAGGATAAATTAGTAATGCAGTTTATTTGCACTTTCCACAGAGTATACAATGTTGTGCTTTACAAAAAGAAAAAGAAAATAAATCCTACTCCAACTTGGAGACATACTAAACAATAGTTCCTAGCTATTCAACTGGCCAGCTAACCAGTTCCCAGTTTTAAACAGTTTAAACACAGCACTTTAAACATACAGGCATTTACACAGTACCTTTTTACAGTATATTTTCCTTTAGAGTCTTATGCTTAACTGCCTCATTTCTCCCAGCTGTTAAACTGATGCTTTCAGAGGCTGACCTTTTAATTTAAAACACTAGTGCAGGTTAATTACATTCACCTGAAAGGGCTGACTTCCACCAGTTACCCCATAATGCTTGGAATAGAGAGCACTCTAACCTGTTACTAACCAAGAAAGCCTCTCTGACCCTGCCACATATCCTCACAAAGTCATGCACCCTAGATAATGCATCCGCATTAACATGTAGTAGACCACCCCTGTGCTTTACAAATAATTTAAATGGCTGCAAAAAGAAGAACCAACAAACCAACAGGTGACCTTAATATTCTTGTTGTTCTGCATCCACCATAGTGGAGCATGGTCAGTGATAAGGGTGAAAGATCTGACCAACAGATATTTCAATATTTCTGTCGCCAAGCACTCTTTCTATTGTCGCATAGTTTTGCTCTCTTGGCAGTAACTTGCATCTTAGAAATAGCACTGGGAGTTCTTAATCTCCAACCAGCTGAGATATTACCGCCCCCAGGCCTATATCGGAAGCATCAGTTAGCAAAAATGCCCAAATATGTGGGGGTGAGGGGGCCCGGAAGCTCCACCCCACTCCCCGCACATTATTTACAGTATACATTCATAGAACAATATACCAGCAATTAAAATAAGAAAAGAAAACATTGGGGTGTACAGGGACAACTACCAATCAATCTATTCAGACACATTCAGAGCTGCATCATTTGAGTTAGTTAGAGGCTTAAGGTCAACCTGTTCAACTGTGCTCCCTAAGAAAACACAATACATTTAGACAACGAGAGTGGTTCGAAATGCAGTGCATCTGTTTCAAATTAGAATCAGGCTAATAGGGAGCTGGGGAAGGGGGAGGGGATGGAAGGCCGAGGCCTACTGAAGCGTAATCATATCTCTGAGGGGGGTTATCAATTATATTAGGTGGGGTGGGAAGTGACAGGTTGTGGACAAATAAACATGCAATCTCATTCGTATCTCTGTGTTGTGGATGGTATCAGCCGTGTGAAGATCAGGGACAGTCTCTTTGCTGCCAGTTGTGTCCGGGAGTCATGGGTTTGTAGGCCTTCTGTTTGCTGGAGCTCAATTAGGAGTAGTAGCTTGGGAGGATCGCCCTACTGATGTAGTTATCACAACGGTACGGCCCCAGTAGAGAATTTATATTAGAGTCCTAAGGGGCATTGTAGCTCTCATCTGGATGGTCTGCGCCTCCGTGGCAGGGCCAGTAGGTTGGTACCCTCTACAGGAAGTCCTTCTGGGCAAATTCGGGTTTCCATATTAATGCGTGGTAGACCCAGATGTGTCACAAAGTCCTGTGCATCGGAGAGGTCATGCAGGATATAGGTTCTTTCCTCCCTGCGGACCATTAACTTGAAGGGGTGCATATCTAAGTCTCTTCTGTGTGAGTGCTTGAGTTAAGGGCCAACGTGCCTTCCATTTGTGCAGGGTGCTGGAGGCCAGATCCTGAAAAAAATTGAACCTGGTGTCCTATTTGCAGATGGGTGTCTCTGGCAGCTCTCATCAGTGCTTCCTTCACATGGAAGTAATGTATATGGACAATAACTTCTCGTAGTTGGTTAGCGTTTGGTGAAGGGGCTCGGAGGGCCCTGTGTGCCCTGTCTATGAAGAGCTCTGCTGGAGGGGCTTCAGGTAGTAAGCTGCAGAATGTCTCTCGGAGTGCAGAGTTGAACATATCAGGCATAATGGATTCAGGCAGCCCTCTAATTCTTATGTTATTTCTGCATAATCTTAGATCTTCCTGTGCTTCTTCTAAGGCTCATACCTGGTCATGGATCTCTGTCGTGGTTGGCAGTGTTTGTGGAAATGTCCTCCATCTTGCCTACCACTAGTCTTCCAGGCCTTCCCGAATAGAAGCTAGGTGTTTTGCCAATTCCGTTGCCATGTTTAGTTTAATATCGTGGAGTAACTCCTTCAGACCCCCTCTGTTTACAGGGTTGAGGTCCTGGATGCTTCTTCCCGCTTCGCTGGCGTCTGAGTCTGACTCTAGTGGGTCTCCTGCACGTTGCGGAATATTGGAGCTATTGCCTAGCTGTGTCTCAATTTTATTTTTTTTCCATAATTCTTGTTGGAGTGCAGGAGGGGCAGGTTGCGGTGGGTTTATTAAGCGATTTGTGCTTTTGTAAGCTGATATTTTGCCCGAGATTGCAAAGCTCTAGCAAAGTGCTTTCATCCGCCAGAAGTCAGGCACTTCCCACCCCCCTGAAAATAGTAAAACATTTTACAGCACTGCCGAAAAACTACACAGAATGGAAAGAAATCTGTGTGTCAGATTCATACACACAGATACACAGACTTTGAAACAGCCGCACACACTTTGACACACAGATACATACATACCCACACACAGATACACAGTGTGTGTCAAGGTGTGTGTATCTGTGTGCCACTATCTGCCAGTGTGTATCTGTGCGTCAGATTCATACACACTGGCACATACAAACACAAATACACACACCTTGACACACAGATAGATACATACAAGCACACACACACACCTTGACACAGATATACACGCACACACACACACACAGTGTAATTTTTTTGTTCCACGATGTTGATACACTATGTCAAAGGGTTCCATGGGAAAAAATAATTGGGAAACCCTGACCTAAGGTATTAAACATGGGGTATTTTGCAACCATTTTACCACATACATATACTGAGAACTTTAAGGATTACTGCCAAAGAACACCCCGATATGTGTTCAGCAACATCTCCCGAGTACAGTGATACCACCCATGTATAGGTTGGGTTCTCTGGGGGCTAAAATACCTTATTTGGAGGGTGCGCATTCCAGTTTTCCAACTTGGAATTTTCACAGCAGGTCATCATGCACCCATATCCTATTTGGGACATTTTTGAAGCCGGCCAATGTAATTTACCCCCTATCAAAATTTATGTTTTATAAAGGTAGACACTCTAGGGTATTTCAAATGGTGGTATTATAACATTTTCTATGCACTAATTCTACCACCAGTCTTTGTCAAACATTTGGGTAGTCATTTTCTTGTGTTATTTTTCTCTCACATTGTACAAGGCATGGATGCTCAGTTCCGGTTATGTGTTACTGACAAAGAACACCCCAATATGTGTTCAGCAACTTCTAAGTACATCAGTACCTCCAATGTACAAGTTTTATGGGTTTTTGCAAACTTACAAGGGTCAAAAGTAAGGCTTTCCCCTTTCCCATGTTTGCACATTGAAATTTGCCAGATTGATTTGCTGGGCTTATGTTGCCTGTGAGACTGTATGGCAGCCCAGAAATGAAAATTAACCCCATCATGGCATACTATTTGTAAAAGTAGACAACCCACAGTATTCAAAATGGGGTATGTCCAGTCTTTTTAGTAGCCATTTAGTACAAACCCTGGCCAAAGTTAGCATTTATATTAGTTGTTTTTGCATTTTTCATCCAAACTGCCATGTCACCAATGATATTATCAGTATAATAAATTTTACTGCTCTAAAACGCTCATATTTGTGTAGAATAATGTCTCACGAGTACCCATCATGTACAGGTTTTACGGTGATTTGGAAAGTTACAGGGTCAAACATAAGATTTGCCAATTTATGTTTTTGTAAATTGCTATTTGCCAGATTGGCTATGTTGCCTTTGAGATGGTATGGCAGCCCAGAAATAAAAAAATAACTCCACCATGATATACCATCTGAAAAAGTAGACAACAGGGTATTCAAAATGGGGTATGTCCAGTCTTTTGTAGTAGCCACAAACGCTTGCCAAAGTTAGCGTTCATATTTGGATTTTTAAGAAAAAACAGAAGTGTATAGGCGCTCACTATAATACAATAAATAAATAAGGGCTGCTGTATACAATACAAGGATTCCCAAAGTTAGCGTTCATATTTGGATTTTTAAGAAAAAACAGAAGTGTATAGGCGCTCACTATAATACAATAAATAAATAAGGGCTGCTGTATACAATACAAGGATTCCCAAAATCTTGTGTATTGGTGAAACAGAAATAGAATATGGCATATACTGCACCCAAAATCATACGTACATACACCTGAAGAAGGGAGGGCTGGTAAATACCTCAAAATGATAAAACAGAGAAACAATAATAGTGCAATACAATTTAGTAAAGTGCAAGGTGTTAGCTAAATAGCTGTAGGAAAACCACTCACATGGGGTAGAGCTATATAAGAGCTCTGCTGTATTACGCGTGGACGGTACAATCCCCGTCTAAGGATACAGGATAGTAGAGATGGTACTGGTCCTCCAGATGCGAGTGTAAGTTAAATATAAAAATGAAAAGAAAAAAATTCTGATAGTATAGTAAGTACTATAAACTCAGATGTTTAAAGAAAGTATTGTACTTACAATTTGTAGAGCAAAACCTGCTCTAGTTATCTCAGCATGGGTGGTACTATCCCCACCTAAGGATATAATGGCACCAGGTAGCAAACAGGATGCAGGGTAAAATAATAAAAAATATATAAGAGTATAAAATTAACTATTTATTATAAAGAACATATATAGCATATAAAAATGTCTGAGTACAAATGTCCAAATAAGTCCCACTTGACGCGTTTCGTGAATTTTATGGCGACTAAAAAAGGTTTCTTTAAATGTAATTGCTGCATAGCATGTAGGAAGACAAAACCAACACCCAAAGTAATTACTGATTTTACATCTAAAAAGACGGGTAAAACATATAATATTAAAAATATCATTACATGTAATAGCAAAAATTTTATTTATTTATTGGAATGCCCTTGTGGGCTTCAATATATTGGTAGAACGAGTAGACCCCTTAAAGTGAGGATAGCGGAGCATTGCAGAAATATAGAAAAGGGCTTTGCTAATCACGCTGTCTCTTCACACTTTTGTATACACGAAAATAATCCTAATTAATCCAAAATATTCCTAAATTGCTCACATTCACGGGTATTGCAATTGTTGACAAGCACTGAAGAGGTGGCCATTAGTAGCCATTTGTTCACAAACACTGGCCAAAGTTAGCATTAGTATTTGTGTGTGAAAAATGCAAAAAACCCTGTAACTTTCCAAATCACCGTAAAACCTGTACATGATGGGTACTCGTGAGACATTATTCTACACAAATATGAGCGTTTTAGAGCAGTAAAATTTATTATACTGATAATATCATTGGTGACATGGCAGTTTGGATGAAAAATGCAAAAACAACTAATATAAATGCCAATTTTGGCCAGTGTTTGTGACTAAGTGGCTACTAAAAAAGACTGGACATACCTTTGCAATACCTTTGGTTGTCTACTATTGCAAATGGTATGCCATCATAGGGGTAATTTTCATTCTTGGGCTACCATAAGGTCTCAAAGGCAACGTAACCAATCTGGCGAATTTTAATGTGAAAAAAATGAAATGCAAGCCTTATATTTGACGCTGTAACTTTTGAAAACACCATAAAACCTGTACATGAGGGGTACTGTTGTACTCGGGAGACTTAGCTGAACACAAATATTTGTGTTTCAAAACAGTAAAAAGTATTGCAGCAATAATATCGTCCGTGTAAGTGCTGTTTGTGTGTGAAAAATGCAAAAAACGTCACTTTTACTGGTGATATCATCGTTGTAATACATTTTACTGTTTTGAAACACTAATATTTGTGTTCAGTGAAGTCTCCCGAGTAGAACAGTACCCCACATGTACAGGTTTTATGGTGTCTTGGAAAGTTATAGGGTTAAATATAGTGCTAGCAAATTAAATTCCCTTTACTTTCGGCATGGGTTGTCAGGCAGGTCCCGCTAATTGTAATTGATTAAGATACCTAATTATGTAAAAATATTACATAAATATATATGTAGAATTAATATATGTATATATATACATACTAATGTGTATATATATGTTTTTATCTATATAATTTTTTTAAAATATTTTTATTTATATATAGGTATATATATAGTGATATATACGTATATATGTATGTATATAGATATATATATTATTTCGTTCTACGTGTATTTTGATATATATATAATATATATATTAATTTCACAATACAGTTAGAACGAAATAACACACATCTATATATTTAATTAATTTTTTTAAAAATAATTTTTAATTTTTTTTTTTTACGTATTTACATTTTTATTTTTTTATATTATATATAAATATATATATAACAATAATTATATATATATTTAATCAGTATCAGTCTACGTGTAAGTTGATATTAATATATATATATATATATATATATATATATATATATAATTATATATATATTAATAGTAAAATACACCTAGACGGTGTACATATATATGATCTAAGTATATATTATTATTTTTTTTACACTAATTTATTTTAATTTTATTTTCAGCCAGCAGGGGGACCACCTGTCATTACAGGCAGCCCCCCTGCTGGCAATGCAGGAGGCAGCTACCTCCGGCCATGTGATTGTGGGGTCCTCGCAAGGACCCCACTCTCACACGGCCGGGGGGCTTCCAGGACGTCGGACATGCCGCGGGGGGCTCCCTGGGAGTCCCCCGAACTGCGATCACCGGCGTGGGATCGCCGGCGACCGGGTAAGTAGGAAAAGACCGGAGGGCGTACTATTACGCCCGGTGGCGTTTAGAGCCGCTTAGAATAGGGCGTAATAGTACGCCCTCCGGTCTTAAGGGGTTAAATAACCTCGTCGGTAGAAAACTCAATTTATTGTTATTAGGATCTCTTATTTCGTGGTGAAAAAGAGAGAAAAAGGGGGAAATAAACTCTCTATGGAATGTGTTGTTCATAATGGTGTAGACCTAAGAATTGAAGAAAGTCACAAGAGCTAGAAGCCTATTAACTTATTAGCCATACACAGAGATATAGTAGCTAGTAAAAGATATTCCGTCATGATGTTGTTCAGGTCAGATAGGAGGCTGTGGCCAGAGTTAACAAAATAGGCTTTATTTGCAGGTTTTGACATAACAGCAGTTTAACTTGTAGAATAAATAATAAGGAGAAGGAAAGGAAGAAATAAATGTTAAGGCAATATGCCCTATATAGAAAACAAACAAGTGTGCAAATAATAAAGCTAGATAAAAGTATAATAATAATAATAATCTGCTCCCTCTCGCCGCGCGCCATATGCTGATGCCGGGAGCCGGAATATGACGTCATATTCCAGCTCCCAGCTACAGCAGAAAGCCTGCGTGGTGAGAGGGAGCAGAAAGGACACAGCTCCCTCGCCGCGTCTGATATGGAAACCAGTGGCGTCGCTAGGGGGCCTACATCATGCTGTGCCCCTCCTTGGGCCCCCCAAATGCCGGCAACTTGCTGGCCATGTGTTTAAATTATATTCCATCGGACTGTAACAATCTGTGAGTCTGTTACAGCCCGAGGGAATGCAGGACTGAGGTGCTGGGTGCTGTCTGTGGCTGGAGGGAGCACTGACAGGCTCCCTGGCACAGGGCCCGCCCCCAAACAAAACCCTGCCTCCCGCACATAAGCCCCACACCTGCCGTTAAGCAGCAGACCATGCTGCTGCAGAAGATGGCTGTCTGACCCCCAGCAACAGCCTCCAGTGACAGGTAGGCTTGTTGTGTGTGTGTGTATGGACATAGCAGTGCGTGTATGGACTCAGCAGTCTGTGTGTGTGTGTGTGTGTGTGTATGGACTCAGAAATCTGTGTGTGTGTGTGTGGACTCAGCAGTCTGTGTGTGTGTATGTATGGACTCAGCAGTCTTTGTGTGTGTATTCCGACTGGGTACCTTCACCAAGGACTGCTTCCTAGCTGGCACAGGGGACAAACCGCAGCGCTTCTGCCCCCAGTCGCCGTGACTTGACTGGGGTCCTGGAATCTCTCCGTCCTGGAGCAGGCTAGGGGACTTGCTCTATCCACTCCCAAGGACTGGACGACACACAGTCCTGGGATCTGGAGTCCTTGCAAGAACTTTCCCCCGATGAATCCACCATGCTGAAACAACCTGGAACAGTCCCTTTCCCCTCCCAGTAACCAGACGACACATAGGGAAAGCAGTGGATTGGCTAAAATCGGCATGGGCGCAGGGCCAAATGCCGTTTTGGCCAATCAGGACCTCCTCATAGAATCAGTGCATCTCTATGAGGAAAATTCAGCGTCTCCATGCAGAGCGTGGGGACGCTGCATGGCAGGGCTGCTTACTGTGCAGCCCTGAGCCAGGAAGCCCCTCCAGTGGCCATCTAAGGAGTGGCCACTTGGAGGTGTCCCTAGGGGCAATATAAACACTGCCTTTTCTCTAAAAAGGCAGTGTTTACAGTGTTTACATGAAAATGCTGGAAGAGAGCTATTATACTCACCAGAACTACTACATTAAGCTGTAGTTGTTCTGGTGACTAGGTGTCCCTTTAATATAAGAACAGTGACTGGGTCACACCACACAAAAACAACAGTTTTAGACTTTAGAAAAACAGACTTTTCTAAAATTAGAATATGTGTAAAGGAGTCATAATCAGACTGGAGCAGTTTAAATGGAGTCTGTGATGGAATGCTGGCACTCCGACCGAGTACCTCCGCCAATCGATGCTCCTAGTGCTTGCCGAGGACTCGAAGCACTCCACAAGACACCATAAGCACTGTAGACCCCACTTCCAGTGATGCAGCCGCGCCAGGGTCTCTCCGTCCTGCACTCACCCTGGACCCAAAACTAGGATCCAGCTTACAGTGGGTAGACCTCTACTACTCCAGAGAGCGTAGCAGGAACAAAATCTTACAAGAGGTTATACTCACGGGAGTATTGTGATTATAGCAATCCCCAAGAGTGTAGTTATCCCATCCCCCGAACATAAGTAAGAGAAACCATGTTAAAGGATGGGATTGTTGAACATCTAAATTCACATGGATTGTAAGATCAGAGACAACATGGGTTTACTTCAGGGAGGTCATGCCAAACTAATCTCATTGATTTTTTTGATTAAGTACCTAAAATAATAGATCATGGTGGTGCAGCAGACATTGCTTACTTAGATTTCAGTAAGGCTTTTGACACTGTCACACATAGAAGGGTCATCAACAAACTGCAATATTTAAGTGAGGATTCCAATATTGTTGAATGGGTAAAACAGTGGCTGAGTGACAGGCAACAGAAGGTTGTAGTCAATATTCAAAGTAAGGTCTATTCTATTTAATATTTTTATTAGTGATATTGTAGAAGGTCTTGATGGTAAGGTATGTATTTTTACTAATGATACAAAAATATGTAACAGGGTTGATGCTCCAGGAGGGATAAGCCAAATAGCAAATTATTAAGGTAAACTAGAAAAATGGTCAGGGCTGTGGCAACTGACATTTAATGTGGATAAGTGCAAGATAATGCATTTTGGACTTAAAACCCAAGGGCAGAGCATAGAATATGTGATAGAGTCATAACAACATCTGAGGAAAGGGATTTAAGAGTGCTTAAAGGTAGGCAGACTGTGTAATAGAGCAGCAGGAAATGCTAGCAGAATGCCTGGTTGTATAGGGAGAGGTAGTAGCAGTATAAAGAGGGAAGTGCTCATGCCAGTGTACAGAACACTAGTGAGACCTCACTTGGGAGTATCGTACGCAGTACTGGAGACCATATCTCCAGAAGGATATTGATACTTTGGAGAGAGTTCAGAGAAGGGCTTGTGACAGTAGTCACCATCACTGGGGATGGAAGACAGACACTATGGGTGGGCTCCCAAATTCCTTTTGTGTTTTGTCACATTGTGCCTATTGTGCAGGGTATGTTGAATGTATTGCTGGTCTGTGCATCTCCCCCTCCCCCTTTTTCCTGTCCTATTCCCCAGCAGGGCGTTGTCCCAGGGACACTGCCAGACCAGTTTAATCTAGCTGCTCTGTCCCTCCTCAATCTCCCATCAGCCCTTGCTATTGTCTGACCCCACCCTTCCTTGTACTATAGTAATCTATGTAACCTATTGTATGTAAATGAGGCTGTTGGGGGCTTAAACTATTTGTGCTGTAGTCATTAACCCCTTAAGGACCGAGGACGGTTCAGGACCGTCATCGGCATTTTTGCGTTGCCGACCGATGACGGTCCTGAACCGTCCTAACGGTCAGAGCTACTTACCTGATCGCCGTCGTTCCCCCGGCGGCGA